GGGGGATTGGTATACCTATTGAGCTGTATGTGAAGCTACATAAAAGGAAATAATTTCCATTTATAAAATTCTGGAGCAGCTCTATTATGGACCCTCCCCCCTTATCACTCTCCCCCCTCATCACCCCCATCCCAGGATATAAAGACATTGACTGGAGTCAGCCGGTGACATATTGCAGCACTGGGGGCTTCTTACCCGGCCCTCCGACACCCGGGAGATGGTGCAGTTTTTCAGGTCTTCGATGACTCCCAGCAGAATCTGGTTGCTGGTGATTTGGCCGAAATGAATCCTGCGTACATGAGGAAGAGGCGGGGCAGAAAAGGTCAAAGCAAAAATTAGACAAAAAACATCAAATGCTACAAGAAATAATAAATAGAATCCTTCCATTGTCATTATATATCTTATTATAGAGCCGGTGATGTCACCGCTGGGTCCCTATGCTTCTCTATACAAGGCAGGCAGATCGTGGCTGGTGGGAGGGGCCGGCAGAGTGCTGTACATAGCTTCCTGAAAACATCACAGCACTCTGCCTCGGTACTGCTCTCAAGAGCCCTCAGATCTGATTGAAGAAGTGGGTGGGCTTTTGGGAGGAGTTATGCAAATACCAAAATGCTTTGATGAGTGGGTGTCAGTCTGGGGAAGTGGGCGGTCCTAGACAGGCTTTATATGCATGTGTGGGTGTCTGGAGGAGTGGGCGGTCCTAGACAGGCTTTATATGCATGGGTGGGCGTCAGTCTGGAGGAGTGGGCGGTCCTAGTCAGGCTGCATGTGCATAATGAGAGACTACCTTACCTGAGCAGGAAGAAGAGGCAGCGGCAGATCAGCTCCACCTCCTGACTGCGGATGATGTAATCCCGGAAGAGGGTCAGCAGGTCGGGGACGTAGGAGAACGGCAGGACGAGCAGCGACTCCTCCAGCTCACTGCAACAAAAGATCAGTTGTCATCAGTTCCCGGGCTGACCTCACAGCACCTCTACAGCCTCCTGTCACATGTTTTGGGGGTATTGACGAGGGACGTATGTAAAAGAGTCTTCAGCGTGCGATTTGACTCTGCAGCCAGCAGGTGTCACTGCTGCAGCCCATGGGTATGAAGGGAGCTGCCGCAACAGTGCCACCTGCTGGTGAGAGGAGGTATTACGCCGACATAGAAATTAACATGTAAAAAGAGACATTGATTGTAAACAAACAGCTGCTGTCCTGTCTATACAATATGGCCGGGGTGCCTGGACCACCCAACAGCATTATTCAGCTTCTGGCTGCAGAGATGAATTAACGATGAGGTAAGAAGATGGAGAGGGAAGCTAAAAGGATTCCCTGACATGAAAGCCTTTCCCCGTGTGACCGTCTCTAGGTGTCAGTAAACAGGTCCTCTTATTGCCCCCTATGCCCAGCAACATGGCATTTCCCTTCTAATGATGAGCTGCCAGGAGACAAAGGATGCATGGTGGGAGGAGCATGTGACCAAGCTGAAACCAATGACCAAGCACCAGGGTTGTCACATGCAGAAACCTCTCGCCCAGTGGTTTCCCACCCACTTCCTCCCGTCGGGCCGAGGCTTCCTGTCCGCTGTCACAGGCGTCGGAGGAGACAGGAAGCTGCGGCCCGGCAGGAGTGCGCTGTCCTGCACCCCTGGAGTGAGGATGGAGCTGCAGGGCTCCTCCTAGCCTGGCTGATGCTCTGGGGCCCAGTGAGTGTCCCTGTGCTGGGGAGGGGAAGGATTAGAATGGGGGACGGGAAACGGGTCCATGACGGGGCGCGGAAGGTTTTCGGTGTCACTAGGGTTGAGGTCCCCTGACCTACCACAAGCTACAAATGTCTACCAGAGCCGCTCCTCCGGAAAGGGTGATGGCGGAACTTGTTATTACTCTACATAGTCCAAGTGCAGGATCACCTCTATAGGGAGAGTAAACTTTGTGACGTCCAGAACGTACTCCGCGGACTGCGGGGGGGAGGGGAGGAGACAGAAGGTTAGTAATAGGAATGTACACAGTGCGGACGGAGGGATCATTAATATAAATTATCATCACTTATACTCTATGGGGGAGCATGATGATGAAAACTAGCCCGGAGGGGGGGGAAGAGACATTGCTCACTTCTGTTCCCCTCTGAACATAGGCAATCCCTACCTGAGGAAAACACAGGAAGAGCCGAGTTCTTATGTGACAATTGTGGAAATGGAGGATTCAGAAGATACAACCAGGATGTGATAGAAGAGGCGCCATCTAGTGTTGTATAATGTGATGAGAGCGCCATCTAGTGTCATATAATGGGGGGAGAGCGCCATCTAGTGTCATATAATGGGGGGAGAGCGCCATCTAGTGTCATATAATGGGGGGAGAGCGCCATCTAGTGTCATATAATGGGGGGAGAGCGCCATCTAGTGTCATATAATGGGGGGAGAGCGCCATCTAGTGTCATATAATGGGGGGAGAGCGCCATCTAGTGTCATATAATGGGGGGAGAGCGCCATCTAGTGTCATATAATGGGGGGAGAGCGCCATCTAGTGTCATATAATGGGGGGAGAGCGCCATCTAGTGTCATATAATGGGGGGAGAGCGCCATCTAGTGTCATATAATGGGGGGAGAGCGCCATCTAGTGTCATATAATGGGGGGAGAGCGCCATCTAGTGTCATATAATGGGGGGAGAGCGCCATCTAGTGTCATATAATGGGGGGAGAGCGCCATCTAGTGTCATATAATGGGGGGAGAGCGCCATCTAGTGTCATATAATGGGGGGAGAGCGCCATCTAGTGTCATATAATGGGGGGAGAGCGCCATCTAGTGTCATATAATGGGGGGAGAGCGCCATCTAGTGTCATATAATGGGGGGAGAGCGCCATCTAGTGTCATATAATGGGGGGAGAGCGCCATCTAGTGTCATATAATGGGGGGAGAGCGCCATCTAGTGTCATATAATGGGGGGAGAGCGCCATCTAGTGTCATATAATGGGGGGAGAGCGCCATCTAGTGTCATATAATGGGGGGAGAGCGCCATCTAGTGTCATATAATGGGGTGAGTGCGCCATCTAGTGTTCTATAATGGGGTGAGAACACTATCTAGTGTTCTATAATGGGGTGAGAGCGCCATCTAGTGTCATATAATGGGGTGAGTGCGCCATCTAGTGTTCTATAATGGGGTGAGAGCGCCATCTAGTGTCATATAATGGGGTGAGAACGCCATCTAGTGTCATATAATGGGGTGAGAACGCCATCTAGTGTCATATAATGGGGTGAGAACGCCATCTAGTGTCATATAATGGGGTGAGAGCGCCATCTAGTGTTCATTTCATATAGTGCAGAATTTCGCCCCTATTTTCAGTGATGGCGTCCTTTAAAATTTTGCAAAGTTTCAAGGCACCCCAGTCTTAAATGTAATTTAAAAAACAGGGGTTTCCCCTTTGCACTGAAGTCCCCCCCCTTTAAATCAGAAACCACTTTTCAGAGCGCCCTATACATCAGAGTTCCCCCTTAAACAAATGAATCATGCCATCACATAAGGAGCCGGAACTGCGGCAGCATGGGAGAGGGTGGGGGGGACATTTTTGAGGCACCCCTAAGAAAGCCAGAAGGCTCCCTGGTTGCAAAAGGGCGGCATAGTGTGTTAGAATGGAGTGAGGGCGCCACCTAGTGTTGATTTAGCATAGTGTTATATAATGGTGTTAGTGCTCCACCTAGTGTTCATTTTGTATATGCTTGCAAACTTTTTTTCAGTGACGGCACATTTTAAAAAGTTATGCTAGATCTCGAGCCTTCCCAGTCTAAAATGTAATGGGTTTTTAAAGGGGGTAACCGCATGCAAAACACACAAAAGAAGTAGGGGTTCCCCCTTTAAATCAGGAACCCACATTTTCTGAGTCATTTTTACATTAGAGTTCCCCCTTCACATCAGAATTCTACCATCACATCAGGATCCACAGCTACGGCAGAATGGTAGAGGGTTAAGGGACTGGCTGGAAAATTTCGAGTCACCCCTGAGGAAGCCAGAAGGCTCCCTGGTTGAGAAAGGTTGGCATAGGGTTTTAGAATGGGGTAGCACGCCACCTAGTGTTCATTCAGCATAGTGCTATATAATGGTGCAAGTGCGCCATCTAGTGTTCATTTAGTAGTGTTACATAATGGGGCAAGTGCGCCATCTAGTGTTCATTTGGTAGTGCTATATAATGGTGTAAGTGCGCCATCTAGTGTTCAGTTAGCATAGTGCTATATAATGGTGCAAGTGCGCCATCTAGAGTTCATTTAGCATAGTGCTATATAATGGTGTAAGTGCGCCATCTAGTGTTCATTTAGCATAGTGTTGGTTATAGATTGTATTTTTCCTCTACAGCGGTGAATCTCAGACTTCAATGTGTGAATCCTGTGCAGTACTTTGACACACGTGGGGTAACTCAGGGCCGTTTCTGATCATTAATACGCTGGCCAGGTTGTCACACCAGCGGACGGATACAAGGGTCGGGATATAATTAAGTGAACGGCGTTCTAAGCCATCCACCAGGTAATAGTTTGATCATAAAAAGTGGCTTGTTCCTTTACACTTACCGATATGTTCCCGTACGCCTGCAGGATCGGGTGAATCTTCCGTGGGAGCTGTGAGCGCAGAACACAAGGTGACATTAATTAGTCGTCTGGTATTAACCCTCTACACGCCAGCGGTGACACAATGTACCATGTGACTCGCCACCGACCCCGCCTCGGCTATAACCCCCAATGCATTTCCTTAATACTAGGCAATGAGCGCGCCGCTACTAATGTTCAAGGCTGAAGGAGAGAAAACGTTCACGGCGACCAACCAGAGTCCACGTTCCAACATCCTGGTCCTAATCACCTTTCTCCCCGCTGCTTTGCACAGCGCCTCGTGCTCCTTCATTTTGGCGCTCTCCTCGCGGTGCAGCTCCACGGCCTCCATGATGCGCTCAGTCTGAAAGGCAAAAAGGATCACATGAGAGGTTCAGGTTCGGCCAATATTCTAATCGGGGGGAGGGGGGTCATGTGATCGGGGAAATCTGATCCAGGAGCAAAAGGCAGGGAATGATAACCGATCTGAGGTCATTTGACCGGGCCAATGTGATCCAGGATCCTAGAACGTGGAACGATATCTGATCTGGGGTCATGTGACCAGGCCAATGTGATCCAGGATCATAGAACGATATCTGATCTGGGGTCATGTGACCGGGCCAATGTGATCCAGGATCCTAGAACGTGGAACGATATCTGATCTGGGGTCATGTGACCGGGCCAATGTGATCCAGGATCCTAGAACGTGGAACGATATCTGATCTGGGGTCATGTGACCAGGCCAATGTGATCCAGGATCATAGAACGATATCTGATCTGGGGTCATGTGACCGGGCCAATGTGATCCAGGATCCTAGAACGTGGAACGATATCTGATCTGGGGTCATGTGACCGGGCCAATGTGATCCAGGATCATAGAACGATATCTGATCTCGGGTCATGTGACCGGGCCAATGTGATCCAGGATCACAGAACGTGGAATGATATCTGATCTCGGGTCATGTGACCGGGCCAATTTGATCCAGGATCCTAGAACGTGGAACGATATCTGATCTCGGGTCATGTGACCGGGCCAATGTGATCACAAGACATTGAACGATATCCGATCATGAATTAGAAGAGCCAGGGAACGGCAACGTCTGGTTCTATAAATGCTACAGGGCAAAGTTTTTGGAAAGTTCAGAACCTTGGTCGGGTCAGGAATTGGATCGGCTGAGCCATAGTAAGGGACTGTGTAGGGGAACCCGAGAACTTAGATTGGCGCTGTACGAGGCGGGGAGATGAGCCGATAAAGAGGAAGAAACGGATTGCACTCACGGCTTTCACAGTCTCGATGGTCTTCTTTCCGGCCAGTCCCGTCTCCCCGTCCTTCTCCCCCGCCACCTGCAGAGAAAGGGACGCCATCATTAGTAGGGACGCCAGCAGGACGCTTTACCAACACAAGACGATGATATGCGGACTCGGCACATCCAACTCACCACCGGCTGGTCTCCTTTGCCTACGTTCTCCTCAAACTCCGCTTCACGTTGCTGGAAAAGGAGAAATACGACCAGTTACCACCAACTCATCAGTACCGAGGAATCCCACCTGGTAATAGTAGCGGCCTCATCCCCAAACCTAATTATTTATGGCCCCCCCCCACAGGCCTCGT